CCCAACAAGTTTTATTTTAAATTATGAGAAAATACAACAAAGTAAGACAATAAACAGTCACGTGAAATAAACACAAGACCTAACTGTCTTGTATTTTATAGACCACTATAGCACTGAAATTGTTACATTCCACACAACGGTAACTGTAAGGGGATTGTGGAGGAGTTCCAATTTAATGAAACATTTTTATAGGATAACATGTATTCCGACTTCACAATCCGTCTTTGAAGCTAAAAGGAAAAAAAACGAACAACAAGAATTGTAATTATATTCAGCTTTAGTAAGGTAGGAGGGAGATACGGTTTTAGTGGACAGTAGAATAACACCCGCTTGTTTGAAAGCAGGCATGGCTTTGTGTTGTAATAAAGCGGTCTTTGAAATTCCAATGGATGGAAAAAGTCAGCTTAATTCTACCCTTCACCCAGTTCTCCCTTCTGTGTTTCTGCTTGATCACACTGAGCAAGCAGATTCTAAAAAACAGAGTAGTGAATTTAAAAAAGAAACAAAAAACTTAATGTTTTTGTCTCCATCGTGGCACTGTTTGACCCTTCAACTATATTGAATCAGCTGTTGCATTCTCAGAAACAGCTGGGATTGCTTAGTATATAGCTGGTTACAGAGTTGCAGGTCTTCCTGATCAAACATGTGTGAAGCCAGGGGGGCCCAGTCTTTGCCCTCCAGCTGTTGAGCCACATTTATTATTCTCTGCCATGCAGCCCATCTACATGAAAATAAAATTTATAGGGCATTTATCTAAAATTCTGCAGAATAAAAAGGCATATTATAAATAAAAATAATCTCTCAATTGAGCTAGTTTGGCAGGTGGTATGCTGCAAGGCTGTTATATAAGATTTGGATCATCTCTGGAGAAACACCTGATTAATGCAGGTGAGCAGCTATACATCATTATGCAGGCGACCATGCTACCATCAAAGAAACCCCTTAGAGGTGAACATTGAAAGGGGATCAGTCTCAGGCAAACACAATTGGACGAAATGGCCTGGCTAATAGCAGTCACATGTGTCCCCTTACAGCACGCTCTAGTGATGATGGTGCTATAAAGGACCTGGCACCATTTCTAGAATTGTTTGATAAACCCACATTCCAGCCTCTGCTTCCAGATTTTCTTTGCAGGAAACATCTGGGTTTTGCCCAAGGGACCCAGGTAAGTTGTCAACAGTTTGGCAGTTAGATTATGTTTGTGGATGGGCACTCTTGGCACAAATCCACTATAACGTGCTCTAGTAGCTAAGGTGCTTGAAGGGCTCCTTACCTCCTTTTCACAAATGTGTGACATTGGCTTTGAGTAGAGTTACAGAACTCAGATCATCATTCTGCACAACGAAAAGTAAAGATTGAATGTATCATGGTTTTAATCTTATGGACCCATACAAACAGTGGGGTTTGTACATGCCTGAATTGGCATAAGCTCCAAAGATGGAAGACGTATCAATCATGCCCCTATTCCAGACAGGCTTACCCCCCTATGGGTAATGTCAATGACGATAACTCCCCCATGTCCTGGATCTGTACCTCCCAATATTGGGAGATATGAGTAAATATAAAACACCACTTCCTTGTGTGGGACATGATATTAAAACATGATGCTTGTGTTGTGATCCTGCATACTTGGGCATCTGGTTAGAATAAAGGCATTTTTGTCCGAGTGTCATATTAAAACTTGCACCCTCACAGCACCATTTCAAATGTAGATGCAGTAATTGCTGTGGCTCTGCCAGGACATCCTGGAATATCAATTACAATGGTAAAACACTATAGGGGTCTATTGCCCATGTCATCATACAAACGACAAGGAGGCACATGCAGAGGTTTTGAACCTACTTATGATGTGTTAATCACTCAAATAGCATTTACTGGGGTGAATGAACAATCCACTGTAATGTAAAAAACTAAATATAATTTTTGCACTTTTGATGTCTGTACTATGAGTAATTTTGCATCTAGCTTTCCATAGGCTGCCATGAAATGCCTCTAGTTCAACCACATGTAATTTAATCGGCACATGAAATCCCTGACATCCAAATTATAGAGCAAGCTTGGAGAACTTGCATGAATAAATAATGCGTAAGCCTTTCAATACGAAAATACATTGTCCAGCAGATACAAAGACAATCATCATCTATGGCCTTCTAGGACATTATTGCTGTAAGGTTTCAAATGACCAAAGACAAGTGAGAACAGATGTTTGTTGTTTATGGAGTGTGTAAGCATAATGTTCTTCTATATAGTTATTTTTGTAAAATCCCCACAAAAACACAAATTTCCTTAAAAGTACACAAAACCGGTTTAGTGTTTGGTTTTTTTTTTTTTTATTGCATAATGTATGCAATTAATACTTGCACCTAAAAAATTTACAAATAGGCAGCACTTTGAAAGATGAAAACACGGTTGGATTAGACCCCTAGAAGAGAAAAGTCTAGAAAGATATAAATGCCCAAACACATACAAGGTTATTCACAAAAGTGAGAATTCATAGGGAAAACTATAAAGTCTTAATAGCACTTTTTTTAAATAAATATATATATATATATATAAAGCCTATTCAGACTAAATTCTGCTTTTCATCATAAATAGCTCCATTGTTTACAAATCTTCCTCGGTGGGTCCTCTTGCACGAATACTGCCTGATCCTATGGCCCTATTCATGAATTACTAACGTTAATATGTATCCGTCGGTTTTGCTCAATCATTATATGGAGACTTGATCTGGTCATGAGCTTTTGCCTAAACAAACATTTGATATAAGGCAATAGAGAGAACTGAAAGGCTTTGTCTGCTTGTTGCTGTAAGCCATTTGTTACAGACACAGTGACTGTAATTGTCCATTAATGATATTATTATTTAAACCTCCCTGGAATAGTAAAACAGGAAACTTAAAGTATTACTCCAATCATCATAAGCCCCCAGTCCGCTGTTGTACCATGACCCAGTTCCTGGATGATGGGGCAAATTGTTTAGCAACAGTTTGCCCCCATTATCTGGGTCACCGCTGGACTCCAAAGCTCCCTGGTAGTCTGGTGATGTTGCAGCTCTGCAGAAGCCGGAAGCCTTAGTCATCACCATTCATTGGCTGAGAGTGTTTCTGACTACTCTCAGCCAATGACTTACAGTTTGCACAGAATTGACATTAACCATTAACCAACTCTATTCCAGCCTGATGGATGGCACCCCAGAGGTGGAACACTTCCGACAGCTGAGAGGTTAAACTCCGTATGTGGAGCATTTTAAATCACTGAAGTTGTTTTGGTGATTGATTGGAGTATCCCTTTAAGTTCAAATGAAAGCTTGTCTTTTAGTGCAGTAGTTTCCAACTTAATCTACAAGTGTTAGGATCTTGATTTAAATGGTGTCACGTACGTGCCCCTCTAGAAGTTCTGACACCAGATCCTCCATCTGTTCGTCATTTATGGATGAAAGCTCCACAGTTCGTGACGCGGTACCTTTTACGTGGTATTGGAGTATAGACTGTAGACTGTATAGACCTATAGACTGTAAGCTCGTTTGAGCAGGGTCCTCTTCAACCTATTGTTCCTGTAAGTTTTCTTGTAATTGTCCTATATAGAGTGACATCCCCCCTCTCATAAAATTGTAAAGTGCTACAGAATCTATTGGCGCTATATAAATGGCAATAATAATAATAATAATAATTAGAGTTCATCCTAGTCTTTTGCAGACTGACTATAAATACACAGGGTTGTGTGGGAAATTTCAAAGTTACATTATTGTAATAATGGAGAAACATGTTACAACACATATACAATGCTTTTTAAAGAGATACTGTATACCTTTAACATATACACCCCTCACAAACTTGGAAAGTCAGGTATTAGAGCGAGGATTAAAATTTACCCCAGCTCAAAAAGCAGACAACTTTACTTTATTTATTAATCTTAAAAAATGTTTAAGATCTTTAACAGTCCAGAGACATTTCATCAAGAACCCAACCCCACTCACATTCACAGATGTTTCTGGGGATTCTAATGAGAACGCCCCCAAAAACTTTAAACGTTTTAATCCCAAATCTAATTTTTATCCAATTTATATGAGGGGCCCCTACTTAGAAAAAATGGTGAATGAGGAATTAAAAAAAATAAATAGGGTGGGGGCGTGGCTAGCCGAGCAAGGAACAAGACGTGCTGGTGTGGAGCCCCTGCAAACCGCACAGCTATACAGATTTAAAAACCACGGAGAAAAACCTGAAAGACGGCAATATTAATACCTGAGTACTCCAAGACCCCCTGGAGAAAAATGGGACGCAGAAACCGTAAGCTGACCCACTCGGGAAGCACTAAGCAAGCAGACATCCGCGTGTCCTTTGAAAGGCCGCAGCAGCACGCACTGCCCAAGATGGTGCCCATGGGTCCACGAGACTCGAGCTCATCGGAAGACTCTGCAGAGGATGACAGCAGTACAACAGTCTTGAACGGGGTGTACAGGAGCGACGACTCCGACGCCTCACCCTCCACAAAGGGGGATATTAAAAATCTATTGGTGGATTTAAAGGAGGTCTGGAAGGCCGACCTAGCTGGCGTGCACACCGAGGTTGACAGCCTCGCTGCTAGAAGCAAAGGGGCTGAAACTAGAGAGGGGAGGAGAAAGCAGGAGCTGTTGGAGACACGGGCCCAAATGAAAACAATGTCCGAGCAAATACAACGACTCACCCGAGCGGTCACATCAGTAGAGGCCAGACACCGCAGGAAAAATGTGCGGATCCGCGGGGCGCCCAGATGCTATCCTCGAATTTGCCAACGCAGCGGTGGCAGCACTAGGAGTGAGACCCACAGCGAGAGCATCACCCATCATGACCGCTTTCCGAATACGGAAGGCCCCAACCGCCCCCGCGGACGCACCCAGGGACATCATAGCGATTACCAGGGACATATCTGTTAAATCTGCAATCCTGACCCGATCAAGAAGCACCCCCACCGTCGCGATGGATGGATGTTCCATCCGGATATATGAGGACTTACCTTTTAACATCCTTTTTGAGAGACGGAGGTTCATGCCCATGACAAAGAAGCTCAGAGAAAATGGGATAAGATACAGATGGGGAGCATCGGGCACTCTTGTGGTGCAACAAGGGGACTCTGTCCTAACCCTGTCGGCGCAGGAAGACCCAGTGGGTTTCCTGAAGGCGCTACACCTATTGTAGCATACTGCCACCACACAGGCCACAGTTACAACCTCCACATCTGAGGGGTCCAGCCTAGAGAGACAATCAATCAACAAAGCGGGAACAGCGCACAAAAAAGGAAAAGAAAACTTCCCTACTATAAAGTATAGTTAATTTAGTATAGTTATAGTTAATTTAGTATACCTATCCCTTCCTATGATAAATGCTCTTCACAGAATCACTAGTAATAATGGTTTCACAAATATGTACAATTATGAATTAGACAAAATGATTAGTTGGCACTCTTATAAACTTGATAAAATTTGAAATAGAGATAAGGACGAGAGGGGGTAAGAGAAGAGGGAGGGGTAGGGAGTAGACAAATGATGGGAGGGATGGGGTATGCATAGAGAGTGGAGAAAAGAGAAAAAAAATGGGGTTTAAATATCTGCTAATATGAATAGGTAATAAGGAAATATCTGAATTGCACATAAATTAATGAGGAGAATATAGACACGTTAAATTATCTTAAATAAAGAAGTAAATGCACATGAAATAAAACTAAGAAAGTCTAGAAAATGTTTATTAAAGTAAGAAAGAATCAATGCGTACAAGAAAATGTTTATTTTTTATTTATTTATTTTTCATAATTTTTAAAAAAAAAAAAATATCTGCTTTCCGTTGCCCTACTGTATAGCTCTTGATAGAAGAGCTGATGGAAAAAGTGTCTAGTAAGGGGAAGGGGGTAAGACACACTATTTGGGACAATGGTGCTCGTAAGGGTTTTTCGAGAGTCATTCTTTTTCTTTTTAAAACCCTTTGAGGTTTTTTTATGTTATATGGTTGTATTTGTCTTATATGTTGAGTGGATTGTGCGTGGCCAACCTGAGGAATTATGTAGCACAGGGAGGATTAATGTTAGAGGGGAATAAGATTAGGATTATAACTTTGAACGTTAAGGGTTTGAATACTCCACAGAAACGTAAGCTTTTAGTAGATCATTTATGGAAAAAGAAAATTACTGTTGGATTTATACAAGAAACACACTGGAAAGCTGGAAACTCAAAAATGAAAAGTTTTTATTATCCAACTTGTTTCCTCAGATTATAGCTCTAAAAACAGTGAGTTGCAATTTTTATTTCAAAGAATGTAATTTATAAAGAACTATATAGAGAAGTGGATAAGAATAGCAGATATGTGTTTTTGATCTGTGAATTGCAGGGGAAATCTACTCACTACTTAATATACATGCTCCAAACAAACAACCTGAAAAATGTATTAATAACATATTAACCAAGTTCGAAAACAAGGTACAGGGTTTTATGGTTGGAGGAGACCTTAATTGTGTGGTAGATGTATCAATGGATAAAAAGGTCCCACAAGAAAGGAAACAACAAAATATCATTAAAAAATTGGTTCTGCAGAATGTCATATCTAAATTTAATCTATAAGACATGTGGAGAGTAAACCATCCTGATGAAAAGGAGTTCACTTTTTACTCTAAACCTCACTTGTCATATTCTAGAATAGATTACTTTTTGGTTCAAATACAGTTAATTCAACAATGTTACCTAATTAAAATTGAGGATATCACCTGGTCGGACCATTCGGCTGTGATTATGCAAATAGGACTAGATGCTAATGAACCACGATCACAATGGAGGCTGAATGAGAGATTATTTACTGATTCTAAATCTATTGATTATATGTCGGAGAGGATTAAATTATACTATAAAGAAAATACGACACAAGAAATCTCAAAGCAAATCTTATGGTGTGCCTTTAAGAGTGTAATATGCGGTTACATAATTAAATTGGGGTCTGAAAAAAAAGGGAACAAGGTCTTTCTTTAAATCAACTATATCTTGAATTCTACAATTTAAATAAAAAAAATAAAATCTCCCCTACAAAGGAGTTGGATCAACAAATATCAGAAATATCCAAGAAGATTAATACTACTTTATTGGCAAAAGAGAATTTCGCTTTACAAAAGCTAAATCAGAATTGGTACCATAAAAGTAACAAAGCTGATAAAATGCTTTCCAATAGATTAAAAAATAGAAAAGCTAGATCGAGAGTTGAAAAGATCATAGTTATAATGACCCAAAATCAATAGGAAATGCCTTTAATAAATTTTATGCACAACTTTATAATCTCTCCTCCAGCCCCCAGGAATTGGATATATCTGAGTATTTGGATGGGATTAAATTGCCAACTCTAACAGATGGCCAGCAGAAAGAGTTAAACTTACCTTTCTCTGAATCTGAGGTTAGTTTGGTAATTAACAGGTTTAAGATGAATAAAGCCCCAGGTCCTGACGGGTATACTAATTGGTTTTTTAAGAAATTAAAAAATGAGCTACTGCAACATCTAGTAGATACACTTAACGAGATTAGAGAATCGGGTCTCCCTTTGAAAGAATTATTACAGGCTAATATCTCACCAATATTAAAACCTGATAAGGACCCAACTAATTTGGCTAATTATCGGCCTATATCTCTTATAAACTCAGATATTAAAATTTACTCTGCTGTCATTGCAAATAGACTAAAACCAATTATTCCTTCTTTAATTCACCACGATCAAATAGGTTTTGTTCAGAATAGAGACCCAAGTAATAACACTCGAAGATTGACTGCCCTGATTGATTATGTAACAAGGAGCAAGATCCCTAAGCTGGCCCTGTCACTGGATGCCGAGAAGGCGTTTGACAGGGTCAGCTGGAGTTTTATGAGCCAGACTCTGGACAAATTTGGATTTGCTGGCTCTATTAAAACTGCAATAATGGCTCTTTATTCTAGCCCAATGGCTAAAACCGTGGGCCCTGGCATCTCCCCAGATTGGTTTACAATTTCTAACGGGACCAGGCAGGGATGTCCCCTGGCCCCGCTTTTATATATTTTGACTCTTGAACCGCTCGCAGTGAGCATAAGAAACAATTATCAAATTAAAGGAGTTATTTTGAACCACTCTGAATTTAAGATCAGCCTATATGCCAATTAACACGGTCTGATCCGGATATATCACTTGGGGCCTTGTTTCAGGAGTTGGAAGACTATGGTAGAGTTTCAAATGATAAATTAAATATTGGTAAATCCCAAGGTATGCCCATCAATTTAGATTTTACAACAATTAATAGATTATCAGATAAATATCCCTTCACTTGGTCATCTCAAGGTTTTAAATATCTTGGCATTCATTTCTCCTATAACTTAAAAGAAATGATTGATAAAAACGTGGATAATCTTATAAAAGATACCAGTGATAAATTACTCAAAGAGTGGAGAAATATAGGAATTTCCTGGCTGGGAAGAATAAATATCATCAAATCATATATTCTTTTTTTTTTTTTTTTATTCAAAACTTATTTTATTATTTTGTTGTGCATTCAATGAAATACATTTTGACTTGTATTGCCACGACAGCAACGACAAGCCTGGTAATACAGACAGTTGACTCTGTACATGGCATGCGATAATTCTGCACATTTTTAGAGTATACAATGAACAGGCTAAACAAACATTTCTAGGTCAGGTTGCTAACAAGAGGTAGGTGCCTATTGTAAATCGACATGCAAGGATTAAACATACAATTAATGATCAAGCTTTTTATGATGTAAAGCAAGCTGGGTTATACAGGCTAGGTTTTTAAGGTGGCACGAAGGACTAACTCGATATGTTGGATTACAGCTGTGTACATTGAGCCATATATATGTGGAAAAGCGGGTACAGGGCTTAAGTAGCTTGTGTGATAGTTAAGTTCTGTGAGCCAGGTAAAATAATAATAAAAAAAAATAAAAAAAATAAAAAAAAATAAAAATAAAAATAAAAAAGGGGGTGGTGCCCCCAAGTATAAGGGGGCCTAAGGGATAGGGCCCTACGTGAAGATCCCTGACTGTGTCCTCTCATGGATTCCAGGGACCTTGGTCCATGCACGTGCGGCCGGGTTGTATGTGAAAAAAAAAAAATTTTTAAAAATTTAAAAAAAATGGATAAATGAATAAAAATGTGAGTAAATAATGTTGGGAGGGAGTATAATTACGTGAGGATAACTGGCTGCTTGAGGTGGAAGCTATCGCTGCGTAGAAGTGTGTCTCGTGCCTCTCCTCATGCCTCTGTTCCCAGATAAGACTTAAAAGTAACGTAGAGCTTCTATATGGCTATGCTCAGTGCAACAGTAACGAGCACCCGGATGCGCCAACATATGCAGTGTCGCCCTAAGGTCATAAAAGCAATGTCGGTGCGGGCTGTATACATAGTTCTTTACATTTGCGAAGCTCAGGTAATAATTGCAGCATGTCTATGTAAAAATTTAAAAATTAAATCATATAAAGTGTGTAATTATTTCCATATGATGAGAGGCAGTCGTTATGCACATAGGGGCAAGAATTTAAAGTTTGCCCACACAGAGGCGCTTTACCTCGGTGTACAGCCACCGTTTAAATGTTTAGCTTTGCGTGTGTGCGCCAGTGTATGGAACTGGGTTGGGAACTGTGCTCGGATGGCTATCTATCTGTGGAACAGGCAGACTGTTAATGTTTTAATATACAAAAAAAAAAAAAAAGAGAAGAAAAAGCTTATGGTAGTAAGTTAAAAACACAATGTTAAGTCTTTGCTGCCTAGTCAGATGCTCCACAATCTATATTGCCTTGCATATTTATGACTGAAAAGAGCATATAAACAAACACATCACCTTATGTACGTTGTGACCGCCTAGTCTATTATAATTCTGACTCATGGAATTAAAGAATGCTTATGATTTAAGGGCAACTAACAGTAGTGCATGAGCTTAATTGAGCGATCTAGCGTTCTCTAAATTCTTTAAGTACGTGAATATATATGCTAATAAAGTAGAAGCAAACTTAAAAATGAAAAATGTGAGCTATAAACTGCAGGGTGGCCATGTTAGTGTACATGGCCGTCTCAGGGGAGTCTCTCATGGCACTGCTACCACACCGTCCCCGGGTAGCCAGGCCTCCTTCCGTCCTCCCCATGCCGATCTCCGCTCACCGGTCGGGTCCCTTGTGGCACCGTGGGCACTCAGGAGTGCAAACTGTCCGTTGGACCCCCCCACAAAGTCCGCTGGTTGTCAGCTCCCTGCACCTCCCCAGCTTCACTTGAGTCCCTGGAAGTGTGCGTTCCAATGTCTCACCCGGTGCTGGCCACACATTTGGAGTCGGTGCCCATCCCCCCCGACCACCGGTCCGTCGGGGGGGTAGCGCGGTCCCATCCCACAGGGCTCACGGCTTCGGGGACAGGTCTCTCCGGGGACCCCACAAACCCAGAGGTCTTGGCGCCCACTCCCCAGCGGTCAGTGACACAGCATGGAGGATCCGTCCAGTGCTCGGCCTTACCAGGGCCTGTGCGAGCCGTCCATGCCAGACCCCCCTGATGCCTAGAGTGAATCCTCGGGCGGGCTCTGTCTGACATCCTTTACCCGTTCAGGTGGTTGGCTCGGGCCCCGCGCGGTTTCCTCCGGCTTGGAGTGTGCCGCTTCCATGCGGCCGGGGGGGGGAGCGGAGCCGGGCCGTCATCCGCAACTGTGTGGCCTCCATGTGGGCCTTAAAGCTGGTATACCTTGATCTCTGGGCTGCTGGTCAGTTATCTGTGCCTCTTCAGGGGCTGCCATCATCCAGGCTTATGATGACGAGTAGGCCGCTTTGTTAATTTCGGTGTTCCCGGCCCAAAACCGGCCTCGGTTTGGTATCCCCATAAAGCTTAAATGTTTCTTGTTAAGTATATGTAGCTTATTTCTGCTTTGGGGTGGTCTGAGTGTGGATTTATTGCAGTTTTCCAGGGCTCAGGCCAGGAGCCATGGTGTTCTGCTGCCTTTCAGCTCGGCGGCCCGGCCCCGCCCCCCCCAAATCATATATTCTACCTCATTGGTCATACCTGTTCAGAATGATCCCTTTATCTATAACAATAACTAAACTTCATAAATTATTTCTGAATTACATATGGGATTATAAGAGGTCAAGGATCTCGATTCTACATGTAATGAAAAAGCCCAGTAAGGGTGGCCTGGCTGTTCCAAATCTTATCAAATATTACGAAGCCTCTAGGCTGTACCATCTGTGGAGATGGCAGGGCCCAACCTCATTAGAAGAGCCTTGGTATAAAATTGAATCCTTTTTGTGTAATTCAAAAGATCTTTCTAATATGTTATGGATTGACGTTGGGGCAAGTGCAAAATTCATCTCCAACATAGAAACTTCATACATAAAAGATATCTTTGAAATTTGGGTAAAATACAGGAAAAGAAATCACATTTTAAATAAAATTTCAAAGTACAGTCCAATTAAGACAATGGAATATAATATTAATGACCTAAATTTAGGTAATTGGATCAAATTTGGTTCAACTAAAATAGATGATTTATTGGAATTGAATAAAATAAGGTCTTTCTTATATCTTCAGTTAAGTCTTGACCTTAATTACAGAGAGTTATTTACTTACCTAAGAATCAAAAATTATTTGGACAATCATCTGCTTTATCCCCTTAGCGACCGAGGACGGTTCAGGACCCTCATCGGCATTTTTGCGTTGCCGACCGATGACGGTCCTGAACCGTCCTAACGGTCTGAGCTACTTACCTGATCGCCGTCGTTCCCCCGGCGGCGATCAGCGTTGCTCCGGTTGTGGGGAGACTGCCTGCAGCCCAGACAGTCTCCCCACACTGAATTAGGACCCCTGTGGCCATGTGATCGCTTAACACAGCGATCACATGGTCACAATAGGTGTCCATGTGTCTGTGCAGGGGGACTGTCTGTGCTGACAGGCAGTCTCCCTGCTAGTGTAAAATCAAAAAAAAAATAAAGTTAATGTTAATAAAAAAAAATAATTATATATGTGTATACATATATGATATATAGACATATATTATATCTATATAATATATGTCTATATATCATATATATATAATGTCATACTAAGTGTATTTTTATATTAATATGTACTTATATTATTATAAAAATACACTTATAATTAAATTACACACGTATATATATAATATATATAATAACTATATATATTGTATATATATATATAAAATATAAATAATAAGTAATTTAAATTAAATAAAAAAAATTTAAAATAATAAAAATTTTAAAAAAATTATATCTATATGAAATTTTATTCTAACTGTATTTTAAAATTAATATATATATATTTATATCAAAATACACTTAGAATGAATTTGTATATATATCTATGTATATAAAAATAAATAAAAATAATAAGAAATATACATATGTCCATATACAAAATTACATAAATAATTATATAAATATACACGTAGACTTCAAATATATAAATATGCATATATATTTAAATTCTACGTGCGTATTTATGTAATATTTTACATAATTCAGTAATTTTATTGATTGCAATTTGAGGGACCTGCCTGCCAACCCAGGCCGAAATTCCAGAGAATTGAATTTGCTAGCACTGTATTTTACCCTGTAACGTTCTACGACACCCTAAAACCTGTACATGGGGGGTACTGTTTTACTCGGGAGACTTCGCTGAACACAAATATTAGTGATTCAAAACAGTAAAACATATCACAGCGATGATATTGTCAGTGAAAGTGACTTTTTTTGCATTTTTCATACACAAACAGCACTTTTACTGATGATATAATTGTTGTGATACGTTTTCCAGTTTTTAAACACTAATATTTGTGTTCAGCGAAATCTCCTGAGTAAAACAGTACCCCCCATGTACAGGTTTTATAGCATTTTTGAAAGTTACAAGGTCAAATATATGGGTCAAATATTTTTACATTAAAAATGGCCAGGTTGGTTACGTTGCCTTTGAGAGCGTATGGTAGCCCAGGAATGAGAATTACCCCCATGATGGCATACCATTTGCAAAAGAAGACAACCCAAGGTATTGCAAATGGGGTATGTCCAGTCTTTTTTAGTAACCACTTGGTCACAAACACTGGCCAAAATTAGCGTTCAATTTAGTTTTTTTACTTTTTTCACACACAAACAAATATGAATGCTTACTTTGGCCAGTGTTTTCGACTAAGTGGCTACTAAAAAAGACTGGACATACCCCATATTGAATACCCTGGGTTGTCTACTTTAAAAAAAATATGTACATGTGGGGTGTTATTCAGAGATTTATGACAGATAATAGTGTTACAATGTCACTATTGATAAATTTTAAAAATGTATGTTTTGAAACCGCAATATCCTACTTGTACCTATAGCCCTATAACATGCAAAAAAAAGCAAAAAAGCACGTAAACACTGGGTATTTTTAAACTCAGGACAAAATTTTTAATCTATTTAGCAGTTTTTTTCATTCGCTTTTGTAGATGAGTAAAAGATTTTTCAAGTAAAAGTCAAAAAACATGTATTTTTTTCAATTTTTCATCATATTTTTTTATTTTTTTTAAAATTAAAATACATGAGATGATATAAATAATGGTATGTAAAGAAAGCCCCTTTTGTCCTGAAAAAAACAATATATAATTTGTATGGGAACAGTAAATGAGAGAGCTGAAAATTCCAGCCAAACACAAACACCACAAAAGTGTAAAAATATGCCTGGTCGCAAATGTACAACATCGCAAAAACAGTCCAGTCCTTAAGGGGTTAAGATAACACTAGGATAAACAAAAAATTAAATTATCTATTTAAAAATAATACTAATTGTAAATCGATATCTAGTTGGTATGAATTATTGAGAGAGGAAGAAAAAGAGTCTAAACCAAAAGCATGGAAAAACTGGGAACAAGAAAGTGGGTCATCAATTGAGTTAGAGCAGTGGTATAGATCAATTCAAGAAGTTAAAAAATTGTTGCATTGTTTAAATATTATAGAGCTTTATTATAAAGTTCTTCATCAATGGCATAGGGTACCAAAAATTCTAAATAGAATTAATCCTGATAATTCCACATTTTGTTGGAGGTGTACTTGTGCTGAAGGTAGCTCTAAACATATTTGGTGGGGATGTAAGCTTTTAAAACCTATTTGGAGTAAAGCATTCAGAGTTATATCAGACTTAGTGGGAGAAGATTTGGATGATAACTTAATGGTTGCTCTTTTCCATTTTAATTTAAGGAGATTCTCAACTCAAAATAGATATCTAATAATCCAATTTATGATGGCCATAAAAATAGAAATATCAAGATATTGGCTACAGAAAAAGACTCCATCTTGGACCTGAGTGCTAACTCAGCTTAAATACCAACACGATATGGAAAGGGGAATATCTTTTCAATATGATAGCCACTTAACATTTGATGAGAAATGGTCACCTTGGCTAGATAATCTGATATAACAATATACCTTGTTGCGTTCTCTGTTATGAATATCCTTATATATAAAGATCACTCTAGTTCTTCCCTATGGTACTGTATTTAGGAAAGTTATGAACTAACTTAATTATTATAGTTTAGGCCCGCTTAATCCGCTCAGCTCTTTTAAATTGTGATATTTGTGTTTTTGTGTGTGAAGTTTACTCAACAGTCCATATATTTTTCTATTGTAAATCTAGTCTATATGTTTAACTTTGAACTGTTCCTGTCTGTATGTTACATATGTAAATTTTGCAAAAAGAATAAAACAACAAAAAATAATAATTATAATTTAACTGAGTGTAAGCCTATTTTGTAAAATATTTACGTGACAGTAAATAATTGGTTTTTAATGCCACTCTTTTTGTACAATGCTCCCACGCCTAAAACTCAGAAACATTTTGTTTAAAAGATCTTTAATGTTCTTACTTGATTGTCATTACCTTGTGAACATTTGCTGTTTTCTTTCTGTAGCCCATTGTTCTTGAAAACAATATTACATGGTTTGTTTGTTTTTTATGTTTTTTTTTTTTTAAACTAAACTATGCATTACTTCACTGATCCCCATTATATATTTTTTTAGCTTGTCTGACCTATAAATAATGATGAACAGTGAATGCAAAGCATTGTGGTTGGCATCTGTGTATTCCTATTATGCCATATAAACAAAGTGGAATTTTCCTCTCCCCTCCTGTATGCTAGCATATTCTCTTGGAAACAAAAAAAGAAAAAGTAAGTGTTTGTGTTTTTGTGCATATAAGTTACAGACATAGTATAATGGATAATCCACACAAGATTCACAGTGCAAACATTATCTACAAACACTAGACAATAGAAACCACAAAGTACAAATAAAAGATTAGTTAGGACTGAAAGTATTTTTTGTACTTTGTAAACAAACTGAAATTCATAGGTTATTTTAAATGTTTTTTTTTTTTAGCCATTTGCACTGAGTGGCAGGTTTAAAGAGATATTCCAAACACCATACCCCCTAGCTGAAGTGGTAATAGTGCCAGGAGTTTCCGTACGTCAAATTGTTTTAGAACAGTTTGACGTCTTACCTGGTGTCTGCTGGGTGCTGCTCCCCCACCCTGCTATTTCCTATGGAGAGCTGGAAGCTCCTTAGCAGGAGCTTCTGTTAGCTCTCTTGAGCTAAATCCTGCAATGCAAGGACAAGCTCATTGGCTGGGAGCGTCGGCTGGTCAAAGGAAACCAGGTAAGAAGTCAAAGAGTTCTAATGTGGTTTGACTCCTTACATTGGTACAGTACACTCTAAGGGTTATGGTGCTTTGAATGATCTTTTAAGACTTGTTTTCAGGCATTTGGCAATGTTGTCTGCAACAGGAGAGACAACACTTCACTGTACTCTCTTCATGGTCCTTTTGGTTTGGGGACCAACCAGGAGGCTGTCAGCCTGGTGTGTCTCATATCAGGCTGGCATAACCACATTAAATCTTGCCTGCACTGGTAAATAAATACATGTCTACAAACGCTTAAAGGGAAACTACAGATTTATTCTTCACATTAATAAAATTGCATGAAATCCCCCTTGTTTGCCCCAATAATATATGAAAATACCATACAATTTGCCTCGCTTCCTCCGTCAGTAACACCATATCATCATGTTCTCTGTCACGATCCAATTAAAAGCTTCTCATAGAGCAGCATTGATGGACCACGTGCATGATGAACTGTGAGTGAATGTGCCAATTAGTGGAGGGGAAGGATGGAGTTAGTGTGGACTGGCCAGAGAGTATAGAAGGTGGGGTTGACCTGCTTATAACAGGATGGATAGAGAGCTGTGAGAGCAGTATGGAAGGGTTTTTGATTGAGGTATATGAAGGGGCTGCGGATGCACAGTCCTGTAAGTTTCTACTCACTCTCTCACTGCCCTGCCTGCAAGTGAAAAGGGTGATTACATTTGTCACCAACGTGCGCTGACGACAGATGTCATTTTTGCACAGCACTAACATTATGCAGTCCGAAACCGAGTTCCAGGCTGCCTAAATCAGTATCAGGGATGTAACTAGACTCCGACACAAATTTGCAGATTTTTTTTCTATAAGCAGCATTATTAATCCTTTAATAACTATCCTAAAATGCATTTGAAAGCTAGCTGTCCACTGCTGTGCTGTAAATGGCCTAAAAATATTTATGCCATAAAAAGTCTGCACACATGTTCCCTTGTGGCATGCCCCGACAGCCGGAATACTTCATACAAACTCTGGTAATTTAGTTGCATACAATAGTGTAAGAACACAGCACACATATCAGCTGATCTAAAACAGACACAAATTGCACATTGTTGCATTGTGCTTTCCCTCACTGTTGTGATTTTGTTTTGATTCAACATGTAATAGGAAGTATTTATGCCAACCTCTTTTACAGCACTATACACTGGGTAAATAAATCACACAATAAATTATTAGAAGACCCTGCACAAATGACTGCAACATAATAAAACAGATCAAATTAGGGAAAGGGATGAAACAGAAAGGTTAAACAGCAAACATCTTCATATGAGAATCCATCCTCTCTGGTTTGTAGATAAAAATTTAGGTTTTGTCATTAATCTATTAAAGAGATGTCTTCATTGGGGATAAATCTGACAGCAGCTTGCAAGAATTGCAGAACTCTTATCTGCAGCCTTTCCAACCTCTCTCCTTCTAACCCTGCCCACACTGTGTGTCTGTCCAATCACAAACTTCCAATGCTGCTCACTGAGAGGTCTTTGCAAGGCAGGTGCACTGGGTAATTGCTGTCTCCTGAGTTTAACTCCACTGAGCTAACCAGACCAGCAAGTAACAAAGACTGGTTGTCTGTCTGATAGCTAGTGGGTGCAACAAAAGTGCAATTTTGTTATTGAAAGCTGCACTTTTTTAAAATGAAAAAAAAAAAAAAAGAGCACACACTTTTCACATACAACCTTCTTAACCCCTTAACCGTCAAGGCAGACATACCCTTAAGGACACTTGACGGTAAATTAACGTCAATTACTAAAGTTAACGCCATATCGCCGCGATTGTGGGGTTAACGCTGTTGCTGAGTGCCTCGGCATTTGAGGAAGCCCAGCAGAAGCCAATAGCGCTGTCCCAGCACATGTGATCGCTGTGACAGCCAGTCACAGCGATCACAGTGCAGCTGGGACTTCTGATCCTCTTCCCTCGACCTCTGTGTGTGATTAGAAGTGGAGAGAGACGGATCGTTTGAAACTTTGTGTCCCTGACAGACACAAAGTGTTTAAAAGTAAAAAAAAAAAAAAACCTTACTGCTCTTCCTTTTAAAATTAACAAGGGTTTAACCCTTTGATCACTGACAGCAGTGATCACAATACTGCTTTTTTTTACTATTATTTTCAGTTAATTAGTTAGCTGGGGCGGATTGAAGCTAGGTGGAATTGGGGAATCTAGCATTAGTGTAGCTAGGAAGCTTAAAAGTTTTAGAAAGTTATTAAAAGTTTATAAAAGTATAAAAAAAAGAGAAAAAAAGTAGTTTATTTTAAGTCAAAGCATTTCTGCTTTGCTAGGTGTAAGCACTGTGTTTAGCGGTGATCTGATCTCTGTTTTTACCCACAGGGGTTGATTTTTTTTAAAGTTTTTAGAAAGGTTTTTAAAAAAGTTAAAAAAGTATTAAAAAAAGTTCAGAAAACAAAAAAGTATAAATAAAGTTTTAAAAAACCCAAAAAACTTTTAGTTAAAGTTAATTTTAAGCTTTCACCATGCTTAGAAGGTTTAGTGCCAAGGAGGCATATAATATATTAGCAGCCGACTCAGAGGCAACCGACACTGCCTCAGAGAGTGCAGAGGGTGACTATGTGCCAGACACAGATGAAGAAAGTGATGATCAGGCCCGGACTGGCCATCGGGCATACCGGGCAAATGCCCGGTGGGCCGCGATGGCCGTGGAGCCAAGGCCGGCAGGGGAGATCACAGGATCTCCCCGGCCGGCTCCTGCAGGGCCAGCACTGTGACCGAGCGCCGGCCCTGCTGTGTGTCTCCATGGGCCGGTGGGGAGATCAAAGATCTCCCTTTACCGGCCCAGAGACACTTCCAGGCGGCCGCTTGCTGGGGTGTGAGGGAGGGAGGAGAGGACCGGCGGAGCTCTATCCAGCAGCTCCGCCGGGTCCTCTCGCGGGATTCTGAGCGTTGCCGCGGCAACGCTCAGATCTCGCGAGAGTGAACTCTAGCCTACAGGTTAGAGTTCACGCTCACCACTAGGACCACCAGGGATCAGGCAGCATGGCTCTCCTCCCTGGCAGAACGGCTCCCCCCCGTCCCAGGCAAAACGGCCCCCCCCCTCCCAGGCTAAAGGTAAGAAGGGAGGGGGGGGATATAACTTTTTTTTAAAAATTATTATTATTAATAAAAAAAAAAATAATTTAAATTAAAAAATCACACTCACACACACACATCACCCCCAGACACACACACAGCACCCAGACACACACACAGCACCCCCAGACACACACATCACCCCCAGACACACACATCACCCCCAGACACACAGCACCCAGACACACACAGCACCCCCAGACACACAGCACCCAGACACACACAGCACCCCCAGACACACAGCACCCAGACACACACAGCACCCCCAGAAACACACAGCACACACAGCACCCCCAGACACACACAGCGCACCCAGACACACACAGCACCCTCACTCACACACAGCACCCTCAGACAGACAGCACCCTCGCTCACACACACACATATATATATGTGTGTGTATGTATGTGTATATATATATACACACAGATATATATATATATATATATATATATATATATATATATAATATATAAAATACCCCTCAGTGAGTTAACAGACAAAGAAAATTAGAATGTGACGGCAGATAAAAACACCCTCACACACAGCACCCCTCTTACATACACACACACTGCGCCCCTCACACATACAATACGTCCAAATATATATATGTATGTATATATATATATACACACACACACACACACACACACTACAGCACTACATACATTACGCTCCAGATACACACTAGATCCCTTACCTTATATGCACTCTTAATCCTCTATACACACACACACACACACACACACACACACAATCTCCTATACACACTCTGGGTCCTTTACACACTAGATCTCCTACACACACACTGCACCACCTAAACACACACTACATTCCTTGTCAGCAAACACATACAACA